ACGCCGCTTTTAACAGTATTCCAGTTATATCGCGGCGTGTCGGATTAATGTGAGAGGTAAGCCCTAAGTGATGCAGGTATCAGACGTTTACCACTTCGGTGAATTCCACGAGCACGGGTATGGCGCTGACAAACCTAGAAACATAATCGGGGCGAACCGGGATTCGAACCCACAATCATAGGTTTCTGGCGTGCCCAAGGAACGATACCACGACCTGGTTGGATGTTCGGTTCTCCTGAAATCAACTCACGATTTGAATTTCCGAACCCTATTCCGAGTCCCCTTGACATGGTTACAGGACACGAAATCCCATCATGGACTTGAGCTTGGACTTGGGACTCCAGACTCGAGTCCCGGCTCGACTCAGGACTCACGACTTCCGATACGCAACCGTAGAATTAATCGACAACAAAACAACGAAACAGTAGAAATTAATAATCTCAGTCATTTGAATGTAATAAAAAAGTTCGACCCATTGAATAAATAGTTTGAGACGTGAGGTGAGATGAATAAATATATATCCCAAAAATAAGTCACTTGGGTGAGTGAGTGAGTATGGTTTTAAGCCGCTTTTAGCAATATTCCAGCAATATCACGGCGGGGGACATCAGAAATGGGCTTTACACATTGTACCCATGTCGGGAATCGAACCCGGGTCTTCGGCGTGACGAGCGAACGCTTTAATCACTAGGCTACCCGACTGCCCCAAGTCACTTGGACTTGGACAACGTCTGAATATGAAACTAGTCTAATCGACTTAAGATTCAGTCACTTTGACTGAACAAGGGAATACTAAAATTCCCAACCAGCTACACAATCACGGGAAGGTGGGTTATCCACAGATTACTAGAAAAACTGAATATTACAAACACTAGCTACTAACTTTATTTCAATACAGTCAGAGTAAGTCAGAACTTAGATCAACAGTGCCCCGTAACCACTTACTAACGAAACGACTTTCGTACGTGACCACACTGTAGTGAGACAATCGTAGTAAACGATTTAACGAAGCCTGGGGATAAAGACACAAGATAGATCCTGACAGAAGAATACATATACTGCGCGCGGACCTCAGAGAGGTCAATCTCTCCTGGACAGCAGGGGAACGAAATAGTCTGAGACGCTCAGCCAAACTGTGTTTCTAAACACGGGGAAAACATGCATAGCAAACTAACTACTATATCCACACTGTAAGTATCGAAATAAAGCGCTGAACATAAGCTATCCAATGGTATCATTAAAGATTTACAACATGTTATGTACAATTATTGATGAGGCAAACGTGATCATTAATACATGAGAAATATCCGTACATTAGTGTCTAAAAATCATAGTTACAAAAAAGCATTGTCAATACAAGAATAAGGTAGCGAACCTATAAGAAATAACATACATCAAGTAAATACATGGTTTGAGAGTGCCATTACATCACAGGACAATGAAATAATAAGTCCCTGACCCAGAATGTAAGGACACAATGGACTTTGCCGAACGGTGTCGGAAATAAAGCCGGGGAGCCGAGAGGTCACTAGACCGTGACACGAGCAGTATAACACGACCGGGGATCGCACACGGACCTTCAACTGAATAAATGTTACATACAGTTACATAATTGAAACGTTAATGTTACGTTTTCATCAACAACAAATTCCTACACCCAGATATAGGACGTACACATAGTAAATCGCGTGACGTAACAATTGTAAGCCAAATTCATTGTCCGAAGACCAAATAAGTCAGCAGGGCGGAGGGGCATTCGTGACCAACTCGTGTTATTCCGGGACAAGCCGAATAGCGTCTCGTGCCCTTCTCATGGCCATTTTTGCGACCGGGTTCCGTCTTAGCGCAAACGGGCATATCTAAAACAATTGACAACTCGTTGCGCAATGGTTCACATATATTTCCCCATATATTATATATATTTCAGATGCAATTTAAATCACATCTGGACATGCCGAATTATACAGTATGATTGAACACATTTAACTGTGTCTTGGGTATATTTTTAGATGCAAGACATATGTAAAAACAAAAATTATTTCTGAGGGATTCTTTGACGAAGAACTTGAAATCATACGCGCATTCTGATTGGTTTGTCGTATTTTCGCACATAACATTCATCGATAGGGGGACGAGTCTTCTTGCAGGTTACGGAAAGGGGCGAGTGGTGACGAATGGGCGGAGGGGTAGCCTGATGGTAGCCACATGGGAACAATGTGTAACGCCTTTTTGTTTGTTTGTTTGTCAATATTCGAGCTTCATGTACTTGACGGCGGTCTGCAAATAATCAACTTGGGGCCAGGCAAATTTTAGTCATTGCTAGTATGAGCAACTGTCCTCGCCGTCGGGTAAGATGACACTCTAGCAACCAAGTCACCAAACCTGACAACCGGATCCAGTAAGTCGACAAACATAGGTTGCTAACCTATTATACCTATTATAAGGACTCTGTTTCTGGCCCATTGAAAAATTTGCCAAAAGCATCTCAAAACCCTAATCACGCATTAAACTTCAGCTACAACTACAACTTTCACGAATTACTTCTACTGGTAGAAGCTGTTGTTTTGTCTGTTGGGGTCAATATTAAGATACAGAAGTGCGTTTGACTAGGTTCTTTATCATACCTTGTCTTTTCGGGCAAATGTTTTGTGAATGCTTATGTATATCGTGTGAGAGAAGAAACGACAAGGTGAGTTAGTAGCAATTTGACACTCAATATTAGATCAAACCGCTTTAATGATAACCAGGGTTTTAAATAAAATGTACTAACGCCCCTTGTCAAATAATATCAATGCAAAACACAGTTTGGCGCTCGAGATATTCAAAGTATCATTTTACATACAGAAATATCCCTTTTGGCCATCACGTATCTTGTATAAACAGATGGCCTTTGTCTTGTCACCTTACCGCACGAGTGATAATCTTGGTGTTCATCACGCAAAGACGGATCCAGAACGTTGTAGCGCCGATATAGTTCAAGAGGAATTAAATACTTTGTTGTGTTTGAAGAATTCATATTTCCCTCTAGGCGTGTTATTTTTAGATTGTGATCAAGGTTAGGAATTATTTGCTAAAGATTCAGAACAACGGATTTGGCTTCGGCCAAGTGTTTGAAGAAGATGACAAAGTGCTCCTTTGGAGATTGACTTAAATTGCTTCTAAGCAAAAGAGGCTGAATTTTGCCTCATATGCATGATGATGACTATGTTATTATCATTATTATTTCAATAATGTTTTGTTCAATTGTTGAGGGTTCTCTGCTATTTTTAGGTTGGTACCATATAACTGTTTCGAGATATCGGTAGTTCGCAACAAGCGGAATACTGATATCAGGTCAAAGTGAAGATAATGTGCCTTAACCATAAATATACATCTTTAAAACGATACATCAAGTTACCAGCTTTCGAATAAAGATGTTTCAATGCACACGGATAGTGTCGAGACAAACTGTTAATGGTATCTTCAGTCCGTTGAAAACAAATATAGCGATAAAAACCCTTTCCATATCCAATAGAAATCTCTGCATAAAACAGAGTCGATAGTACGATTCCGGCTATATCATGAGCATGTGTTCATGAATCACAATCAAATAGTGATGATCCCAGGTGTTCGCGAAAAGGTACGCGTATCCAGCTCAACCGGTGTCACCCGTTTCAGACACATGCAAAGGCACGTCAATGGTTGCTGAAAAAAACCCATGAGAACATATAGTAAAGGTCAAAATCGGGAATTGCATCGAATATCATTCTTGTCACATATGAGTCAGATTTGAAAATGTCCTCTTCATGTCTGCCATAAAACCTTTTGAAAGACCTTTTTACTGAGGCCTTTAATGTTGTCACCTTGATCAAACAACTTCTGTGCACGAGTTGTATACTCATTGAAATCTTGGTAGAAAGGGCGTGCTAGAGTGCACCTCAAAAGTGGGGAAATGAAGACATACCTCTTGCCAAACAGTCTTGTGTTTTTTTTACAGATACTGAAACTACAGTACCAGTCGAAATAACATATCACATGTTAGCTTTGCTTGTACATTAGGTACATGCTTTGGTGACCAAAAACGGTAATCGAAAAGTTGGCCACATGTGTACTTTTTGGTCCCAAACTCGGGAGTTGTGGGATCAATGCCTCTTTACGAAATGGATAACTAACCACTGTTTAACAACTACTGTATATACATGTATTCGTCAGAAGCAAAAGCCCTGGACATTCCCTTCTTGTCCATTCAGTCAAGCTTCTTAATTAACTTTTAAGCTAATTGTACGTGAACGCAGGTAAGGTGAAAGGCTGTTATGACCAAGTCCATGTGCAGTTCATCAACACTCCCTTCTTGTTTGTCCATTTAAGTTTCTATTTTTGTTCATTACTCATTGACATTTTCAAATATAAAGTGAAATACATGCTTATTCCTACCTGAGTTGCAATTCAAAGTGTACGTTCTTTCATGATTTCGAAACTATTGATACAGATACACATTAGAACAATTCATGAATATATTCTCCAAATACAGGACTTACTGTCATATTATCAAAGAAAGAAACCATTGAAAGCAATTATTCATATTACAATAATTTCTTGCTCAGATCATACACGTATACCTCCAAAATTCAACGTCCTACGAGGACAACAAAATCTGAAACTTTAAGACACTTAAAATTCAACACCCTTACAACAGCTACTTTGCAGCATAAGACATGAATTTTAAGATGTCCTTTTTCCACGTTAAGGTAACGTCACCTGGTGTCTAGCGGTTGAAATGTCGCACGTAGTCTTACGTACCGACTTCATTAGCTTCTCTTAAATGTCTTTGAAATGAATTCGTGAGTGTGTTATTTACTCGACAAAGTCCGTGAGAGTTTTCACATCGCTATGTGTTTACGGCTTTGGAACTACTGCTAGTCGCGGAAGGTCACGATTTGTGTTAAGTATTCCTACGCAGTCCTCGTCCGTCTCCTCTGAAAGCGTCGCATCCCTAACGCTAACTATTGTCTACAAAGAAGTCGAAGCTGACGCATACGGTTCACTACCGCGGGCCTGGTGCTGTTAATTTTGATTTTGTTTGCATTGAGGGAGGCTTGGTTTCGGAGCAATCCTTGAGTAAGCAGCTGCCAAATACCAGTAGAAATTACACAGTCGTTTGACAGAGTTTGTGAAACCAAGTTCTGTATGGTGGGATAGACATGATGAGAAGACGGTTCAGCTTGTGAAGACACTTTTGGAAATTTATTGGAATTTACAGCTCTGTGAAAAAAATCAAAATGAAACGAGTTTGGAGGAATGTAACTGTTATATTACTTGTGATCAGCATACTAAAGGTAAGTGTTCCAGTAAATTGTATTTTTCTTGTAATCAGTCTAACTTGTGAGAATTTATCATGATTATGTTTTTATTTATGTTAATTTGTTTAAAACTGAAAACGTACAAACTAAATATTGTTTTATTAAATATATGATAATGCTAAATAAAATAATAACATCCACATTCTTTAATAATTTGTAAAATAAAATTAGAGGTTAAATAGTATAATAATATTACATTGTGAAGTGGCACAGCGCAAGCTATACTTCTTGCAAAATAACTAAATACCTATATACATATATACATATACATATATGTATACTCGATATTACTCTATAATTTTGTTTTTAGGTATTGAGTATTCGTGTTATTTATTATGAATTGTAAAATATTATTTGAATATAAGCTTCCCAGATTAGGTATGTCATTTGAGGAGAAAGCACGCAGTCTAAACTTATTATTCTCATCCATATAACTATTTCCCTGAACAAATGGCCGAATCATGAACAGTGTTAACTTTGCTGTAAAGTATTACTTGTTTCTGTATAGCTACTGTGTACTGTGATATTTTATGTGAACACATATATAAATACTACGACTATATGAATATTCATGCACAGTTAATGGATATCGGAGTACATTCCTGAGTTATTTCATTACATGACTTCATGTCATATGAGCAAGATATGTTATTTTATTTAGTTGCCATTAATCACGGTATTATTAAATTTACAATCATTCAAAATCATATCCCATGCAAATACATTTAGTACTTGAATGTGTGCGTATATTGTATGTGTATATTTGTGCAATTTTAGTGCAATGCCAAGCTTTTTTAATCCATAGACACTAGAGATTGCAATAGATTAATAAAACTTAATACATATGTATCGAAATCAACTTAGTTGTCTTATTAACCAAGAAATATACAAACGCAGTAAAACATACTCGTGCATTCATTTCTCCACGAGATATTTGAAACGCCAAAACAGAAATGGTCTCAAAATATTTATTGAAATAACCGTTTTTAAATTATATCGTAACTAGTATGTAATTCCTTGCCATGTGCATGTCAGTGCATCAACGTGTGTAACACGCCATGTTAAGTAGCTACACTGCCGCACAAAAGAAAGTATACACTTGAAACGAGGTTGTGACCAAGACATTACAAACGTGACCAAAAACATTTCAAACGTTATAAAACGTTATTTAGACTGAAAGCAGTAGCCGACACACTGCAAACGCAAGGTCCAAAACACAATTACCATTTCCGTATGAAATACATTACCATCGAATAGCATTTCTTGTTTGTTTCATTTTAGCCACCATCAAACATAGGTGTGTACTTTCCTTTGATCGGCAGTTTATGTATAACTGGAAAACAAAAGTGTGGCTGTAAACATTGTCTTCTAACTGATCCTTATACCTGTATGCTCAGCCACTGTTTTGTCTTCTTCACACCTTTAACACCTTAATAAACGTGGCTTCCGAGTTCTCCAGCAGTAGTAACACGCATTGTGTTTATGTTAAAGCAATTTATCATTTCGTTGTCATCGTTCCTGCTTATAGCTTCTATAAAAATAGACTAGGAAATAGATTCCACCAAATCTTTCATAAGGCATCATTTTCTATATTGGTTATGTCGGTGTGTTTTCATATATTTTCTGTATTCTTGACTTTTTTCTATTTTTTCACAGCTGGGTGTTGTACACTCTGACTTTATTCTGGGGCTTGATTTGACGAAGTTTGTGCATCACCAGTCGACAGATCTCCACAAATCCCCGTGTTCTGACGGAAAGGACAGGCCATGTGTGGGGTTGTTATTTCTGTGTGTAGAAGAGTATTCCGAGCATAATATGGACCTGAGCGAACAGTTTTGTTCTCTAACCTCTGATACCTTTACTTTCACAGGTGAGATCATCTTTCATAGTTTAAAGCTGTACACGTTCATGCTATGTTGTAGGAATACAGTTAAAACACCTTGACAGTTTAGTTTATGTGTCTGTGGGAGAGAGTGAGAGAGAGGGGGAGGGGAGAGAGAGAGAGAGAGAGAGGCGGGGGGGGGGGGGGGGGGTGGAGAGGGATGGCGAGAGAGTTGGTTTATAGTATGTATTTCAGTGCCATACACTGAGATGGAATAGATTCATCTCTGAGTAGCAAGAGATATATGGTACCATTTTGCGGTTCCCCACTTTATTTAAAAGATCTCCATCGACTAACACACAATGCTAGTTTACTAACACCCTGTTATCAAATGTACAAGAAATATATGGTACCATTTTGCGGTACCCCACTTTCTTTAAAAGAACTTCCTGGACTAACACACATTGCTAGTTTACTAACACCCTGTTACCAAATGTACAAGAAATATATGGTACCATTTTGCGGTACCCCACTTTCTTTAAAAGATCTCCATGGACTAACACATAATGCTAGTTTACTAACACCCTGTTATCAAATGTTCAAGAGATATATGGTACCATTTTGCGGTACCCCACTATCTTTTAAAGATCTCCATGGACTAACACATAATGCTAGTTTACTAACACCCTGTTATCAAATGTACGAATGTGTGTATGCTTACATAATGAGGATTCTTATGTTCACAGAGCACATTTCGTCATGGCATAGGTCTATGACATGTAAACAACGCTAGACGCAATACATGTCCCGATGCCATGTTAACATGACCATATGCATCAACAGTCCAATGTTTGTTCGATCTCAAAGTTATGCAAACGAATACGTAAACAGCTGAACGTAAGCACATGCAGCTGTGTTTGTGTGCATAAAACCATCACTTATCCCAATGCACATCCCAAGAGGGACACTGCAGTTGGTGTTTGTTGGCTCTTACTTCTTAACGTGTGTTAGTTAACCGCTTACACAATGGACTGATTGCATCTTCCGTCTATCAGGCAATAATGAACTATATTGTGAGGTGAGGGGAGGTGAAATTGGGTTTAACGTCGCGTCCAAGATTATTGCACTTATATAGCGACGTGCATGCACGTGTGTGTGTTTGTGTGGCTGCTTGTACTAGTCCGGACTGATGCCGATTTATAGTGCTAGCTCACTGAGATACCATGCCGCAGTTTAACATGAATACCCCACTCAGACTCAGACTCCGAGCCGACCAGTCCTTGTGTTAGCCGCTTAATGTCGAGCGCCAGACAGGGTAACAATAAGTACCATCTTTTAACGTCTTTTGGTATGACGCGGCCGGGGATCGAACCCCGGACCTTCCGCTCTCCGGGCGGACAACTATATTGTGACCGAGGTACGAACATGAATGATCGTTCGTTAAAGAGGGGCTATGTTCAGGGATCTTTGCTCAGGTTGAATAAACTAAGACATTGTTTCTCATCAACTGATATATTGATATACAACTGAGGTACCACATAGACAAAATAATGTTTCAACTGCGTGACTTCATTTTTCCCAAAAGCGTAATGCCCTTTAACTGTTCACGTATCGAATGATAGCGTCTTGTCTGAGCCAAAGTCTACCATAAAAGCTTTTGAAAGCTTCACTAAGGCCTTGAAAGGCTCTTGAAATCTTCGTAGAAAGAGTATGGATGATTGTACCTCAAAGGTTGTGAATGTATACATCAAAGGATGGAAATGCTGGAATATTGCCCGAACAACTTATCAGTTTTGCGAAGATAAAAATATTAACGCACCTTTAAGGTATTGACGTCTTCATACAGTATAGTGAACATGTTGATTTCAGTAAATACTAGTCATATATTAACTGTGTTTTGTGACTGTATGACAAGAGGGATGACTTCAACTTTCCTATTGTAAACTGCCCCTTTATGTCCAGCAATATTCCTGCAGCTTCTACATTTCACAACTTTTGAGGTACAATCAAGCTTGCTCTTTTTACCAAGATTTCAAAAAACGTCATACGACTCTCGCTCAGAAGTTGTTTGATCAAGGTTACAACATTCCAGGCCTCAGTAAAGCTTTCAAAAAGTTTTATGGGAGGCATTTGGAGGACATTTCCGAATCGCCTCACAATAGCGACAAGAATGATGTCCGATGCAATTCCTTATATTGTCTTGAACCATATGTTCCCGTGTTCTTTGTCAGCTGATCAACTGACTTGTCTTTGCATGTGTTTGTGACAGGCCCGACCGGTGGGGCAGGATACGCTCACCTTTTCGGAAACACCTGGTATCATCACTCATTGATAGAGCTTTCGACCCGGTTTTTTAAAGATTTTTCTTATGAATATGGAAATGGTTTTGTCGTTTTAATTTATTGAAGGAAAGGTTTTTAATGCACATGGACCTTTAAGTTTTCTTGCTCTTCCTGGTTTGTTGCCTAAATCCAATCTGTCTTTTTTGCTCTTTTTCTGATCAACAACTATTTGTTCTGAATTGACCGCATTTGTATTTCAAGAAAAATGTGCCTAAATTAAAAAAATATGTTCGGACATATAACTCTGACACAAGGTGCATGTATTGTTTACCTACCACCTATATATAGCTACCTATTTCAGATAACCATAACCGTTTCCTGGAGGAAATACCGCTACATAATGCAAACGAAACTGCCCATGTAGATCAATATAGACGTTAAACGGTAGACGTGTGAAGCTACCACATGTTATTTTTGACCGCTGGTACGCCCGATCTCTGCCTGTCCAACCCTCTTTCGGACAATACTGGACAAGACGGTCACACCAATACCTCCGTCAGCATACAGTGTCATATAAAGTCTTCCTCTCGCAAAGCTTAAACAATGTCGTGTGCCTTTCGCTAAACCCGGCCAATGTTTGGAATTTGAAATTGTCTTCTTGTGTTTGTTTTTTATGGGAGGCCCTTCGGCGGCAATCATGTCTTTGGGATGATGGGCATAGCATGATGTGGTTAAATATTTGTCAACAATATGTTTATCACCGTAAATAGCTGACATTTGTCGGGCGTAGGCGCGGAAAGAGCGAATTTGGTCGTGTTCATTATGCTAGAATGTATTTGAATTGGTTTACATGTTGTTTGATTGGGATTTTTTAGCCATTGTATTCGTGTATTCTTTGGATAAAACTAAAACACCAGAGACTTTGTATTGCTCTTCGATGGTAACATGTTTGGTGTGTATCCGCCCTGACATTAAGACACACATGTGTTTTATGGTTTACAACAATGATCAAATATTTACCTATGTAACTTTGAATTAAGCCAAGTCATTTATCATAGCTGTATACTGAAACACATGGTTCAAATTGACCATAATCTAACATGTAAAACATAACAGGATGTAGAGTTTGCTTCTTTTCTTCTTCTTTTTTATTTTTTTATTTTTTTTTATTTATTTATTTTATTATTATTATTTTTTATTTTTTTTGGTGGGGCTTGAGTTGGGGGAGAGATGCGTATGTTGGGAGATGGGGAGGAGGTGAACCCTCCCACCTCTCACATCCACACATACTCCTCCCATTTTAAAACGTACGTTATATATGGGCAATTGGTAATTTCAAAGTAATCCCTATCCCACACATTGATGATCAGAATAAAGATAACCTTTATCGATTAATATCCAAATAATATATTATTAGTAATGTTGCTAAAAAAGGAACGATAGTGAAACTTTCACATGTGTGTCTGCCTCTATAACGTATTATTTATCAGTCTGACTTTGTTTTTGTTTGTGTACGACGAGAGACAAACAAATAATGAAAAATAAAAAATGACGACAGTATACATATTTACGCCTTGTATCTAGGTTTAGAATTTATACACATTTATGTGGTTACCTATTAAATGAGAAGTTCTTTATATTATTTTTCCTTGACATCGAAACTGTGTATAAAAGTTTAGATAGTAATAACCTTTTACTGTTACAAGAAATAGATACACTAACTTCATTCAATTATCAAATGTGTGCATTCAGAGCTAATTCAGTGAAACAAACCATGATATGAAATAAAAACAACACACATAATATCCCAGGAAAAATGCATTTTCTTAAAGTAAATCTTTAGAATGAAAAAGATGGTAATGTGTGATAGAGACAAAAGTGGCATTTCAAACTACTCCTTCCCGACATTTGTTGGTTCCAGAATACAAAACATGCCAATGTAAATAAAAGCAAATCCTAAAAACGTCCCCTGAGTTCCTTAAACAATATTGGAAAGTATTTCAACGGCGAAAGTCCGCAAAATGTGAAAAGAATTCAAGTAAAGGGGAATTTTACACATGTAAGACAAAAAAATCTATTAAATGCAAAAACAATCCTTTCACAAAACAAACAGATGAAACTATTTAAATGTTTGATGTACACATCTCACATTGATTTCAATGGTTGCCATGTTGGCTGTAGAGCCTCGATTCGACAAAGACGTTTACAAATAGGCTACAGATTCTGATTTTCCACACCTTTCGAAGGTCAAATGTAGGTCACTCCTTAAGCAATGGTCAATTTTGGGCGATAAAACCGCTCTAAGTGCTGAATGTCAATGCCGTAATGAACACAGTCAATTTTCTCAGACAACATTGCAATTTACAGACGAGTTAAGGATTTGTATGTCACGTTGGCTTCGTTGCTTTTGTGAGCATAAAATATCATGGACAGAAACGTCATTTGTATCCCTACAGTACATATCCTATAGAGGTTTTTGTATTATTTAAATAGTTTACTTGAAAATGTGCAGATGTTCTAACTCGACCGCATGCCTTGCACAATCGAATATGGAAAAGGGTTTTGTCGCTTTTATTTGGAGATATTTTTTCTTGTTGCATATACACTGTATGCTTGGCATGGTGCTTGTTCAAACACCAGTACTAGTCAAGGATACGAGATAAGACAAACAAACTGGCAGATTTATTCAGCAAAAGCTTTCCGGGCCAAATGCATACAAAAACATGATCATGTATGCGCATTTCGGATTTACAATTGGATGTTTCT